AAGCCCGGGGGGACGGTGGGGCGCTGCGCGGCGCCCCCGCCCTTCCCTGGGGAGTGACATTGGCGCTGCCGAAGTTCCCAGGCACCACTGATTCAGCCCTTGGCAGCAGGACTTGTTCCTCCTTGCTAAAATCTCTCACGCTCTTACGTTGCTGACTTCACGGGTTTTCTAACCCTGCCCCAATCTCCAGGGAGAAAGATCTCGACGAGGTCCTGCAGACGGACACGGTGTTTGTCAACGTTTCCAAAGGTCAGGTGGCAAAGAAGGAAGATCTCGTTCAAGCGTTTGGGACGGACGACCAAACAGAAATCTGTAAGATGGTAGGTTTCGGCCGCTTTGCTTTGTGAAAGCTTGGAGAAGGCTTCACAGATGTTTTACATAAGGGTCAGGCAGACGTGGTAGGTTGGTTTGTTACCAGAAGGTTTTCACAGAATGCAGTGCTGCTGTAGGCGAAAGGGTTGTTTGTCAAGAAGTGGGTAGAAAGGAGAGGTAGCTCTGTGGTATAGTCTTAAATTTTATCTGTGCATCTGGCTGAAAAGAGTTCTAAGTGTTCAGTATAACGTACAGCTTCTACGCACTGATGTCTGCACTGAAGAGTTTCTCACCTAAGATATATTATTGAGGGTGCAGGGAAAGGAAGGGGACAGTTCCTTGCTTTGGACAGTTCAGTTAAGCGTTAAGAGCAGATCTAATTGCTTAGTCCTTCTGGGTAGGATGTGGACTGTGGACTTGTTGTGGGTGATGAGAATTCAAGTAAATCTCCGCTTCTCTTTTTATAGCTTACTGTTTCAGAGGTGGTTTTTTTTTCTCTGAAATCTTTCCAGTGTTGTCTGTCATAATGATGAACGTTATTAATACAGTTATTCTTTTTCTGCACTTCACGTCTAACCAAACCATTCAAGCAGTTGTTAAATTTAACGCAGTTACTAGGGTTTTCACTCTTTAGTCAAATCTGTGACATTTATTAACTGATTTTTTTTTATTATTGACTGTCCAGATTTTATCAAAAGGGGAGCTGCAGGTGTCGGACAAAGAACGACACACACAGTTGGAGCAGATGTTTAGAGACATCGCAACTATTGTGGCTGACAAATGTGTGAATCCTGAAACAAAGAGGCCATACACCGTAATCCTTATAGAAAGAGCCATGAAGGATATTCACTACTCCGTCAAACCACACAAGAGCACGAAGCAGCAGGTTAGTTTTCTCGCGAAATCAGCTTCTGCTCAGAAGGGTTGCCTTCAAGTGTAATTTCTCTGTAAGCAGTCGCAGCGGCATCAAAAAAGCCCTGCAGTCTAAAGCCCGCAGAATGATTACTCAGCCGGCTGGCGGTTGAATGCTGGATACAAGCAGCCTCTGAAACGCGTGCAGTTCGTTTTCTAACAATTCAGGGAAGGGAGAAAGAAAGAAAGAAACTAATTTACGCAGCAACAGTGATATGCCCGGAACAGAAATAAAAGTTTTATTGTTTATGTTAATTGAGGTAGTAAATCAGGCTTTGCGTCTGAGCCGCGTGGGTTTCTGTTGTTCCGCGGTATAACTGCTATTTAACACTATTTCAGACAGGTTCTTTTAGTACTTGAAGTGATCACAAACAGCAAGAGCTCTGCCTTTTCTTGTTAATCTATCAAAATAGCCCAATAGCAAACTCCCTGCAGCAGAGTGGCAGTGTCCAGCACTGAGAAATATGTCGGAAGCTAATGCGAAGGATTTGAGGTTTTGATCTGTGCGGTGTTTTTTAAGCAGGTGTGTAAATGCTCTTTCTTCTTAATGTCTTCACAGGCACTGGAAGTGATCAGGCAGTTAAAGGAGACCATGAAAATTGAACGTGCTCACATGAGGCTGCGATTTATTCTTCCGGCAAAGGAGGGGAAGAAACTGAAAGAGAAGCTCAAGCCACTGATTAAAGTTATTGAGAATGAAGATTTCCATGAACAGTTGGAAATTGTAAGCGATAAAGCAGTCCTTGGGTTTCATACTTGATTTGACTACACCTGTACGGTTTACTAGAAGATGAATTAATATATGGAAGTTGTTTAGATAAACTGCAAGTTTACCAGAGATTCTAAATCAGAGGTGTAGTTTGTAGTTTTTAATTAAAAAAAATCCTAGTGATGAAAGCTTTGAAGTAGCCTTTCTTACACAGAGATTGCTGCTTCAGGCTGAGGAGAAGCACAGCGTAGTTTCCCTTAGTGGTGATTCTCCTACAACACTGATAAGTGTCTCTGAAAATATGGAGACATTACTCTTATTTATTTGGTGGGTCAGGCCTGTATTTTGACAGTGGTTAATTAGTTTTTTAAAAAATAAGTCTGTGGTAAAGCAAAATTTGGTATTGGTAAAAATCCTTCTGAGAGCGGATTAGAATCCAGATATCAAAAGACATGTCCAGCATGGGTAAGTGGAACTGCAGAACTTCTTTGGAAAGATTACGTGATAGAAATTGCTTGTGAACTCTGCAAAGTCCTTTTTAGTAACTAAACAATTTTTTTTTTAATGAAAATTAATGTTAGACCTTGAGAAGGGGCTGATGAAAATCAAATATTACTGCTTGACTGATGAAATGTGAAATATTTCAGGTGTGCCTTATTGACCCAGGCTGCTTCAGAGAGATTGACGAGCTGATCCGGAGTGAGACAAAAGGGAAAGGAACGCTGGAAGTGCTCAGCCTGAAAGATGTGGAGGAAGGAGATGAAAAGCTTGAATAAAAAAAACCTTCCTGGAGCAGTTCTGCTTTAACGACATCCTACGAAATGGCTGGCGTTAGCCACTCTCTTCTGTTCGGCCTTCATGGTTTTTCCAATCTCTTGCTGCCAAATACTTTCTGACACTAATCCTTTGGGATTTTTCCATGCAGTGTGGTTTGGTTTTTTTATCATTTTACACTTGCTTGGTTTACAAATGGGTTTGCCTGTAGGAGCATTTTGTGTCAGAGTTGCACTAATGAGGACTGAGTTAAGACTTGATACGGAGGTTACTCTAGCTTTGGTTTACTTTAAGAGTTGCTGTTGAAGAGTGTTTGATACGGTGCCAATCGTCTGTAAGTTGTCAGCGCTGAGTGGAAGATTGCATAGGTCACTGAGAGGGTATTTGAGGAGAGGAACCTTAAGAAAAGGGAGCTGCATTTTCACTTCTAAACAGGTGCAAAGCGTGGATCGTGTCTGAACCGATCTCCTGGCGGCATGAAAACTGACTTAGACTTCTGTAATTGGCTGCTTGATAATTAGAGTACTTTAAAGGACCATTCCTAAAGATTTCCTTCACTGGATATAACAGTACGTGCTGACTTAGAAAAAATGTTCTCCAAATAACTTATTCGTAGAATATATTTAGCTACACTAATAAAAATGAATTATCGTCTATTTATATATTACAGATACAGAACGAAATAAAAATAATTATTTTTGGTAACAGTATAGGAGGTAGCTCTGGCCGTGGCGATGCTTTTTGTAGGCGGAAGGGGCAGCCTGCGTTTCTGAGCTGTTCTCGTTCACGTGAGAGGATGAATCTCGAACAGGCGGTGGTGGCCTCTGGCCACTGAGCTAGAGAGGCTTTTGTTGGGCCCTAATTCCTAGCGGTAACTGTGTGTGTGTGCCCCTTTTCTTTTTAGCGCGATAGAGAACAATTCTGGCAGCTGTCCTTTATCCTCTGTCTTTTTGTGCTGCTGTCTAATACATGCACAGAATTTCCAGCCAGCTCCTGAGGCACGGCATGTAGTTCTTGGTGATTCTGTTAAATCTTGTTTCAGCTGTGTCAAACAAATGCTTTTGAGTTGAACTTGCGTATTTCAAAGAAGAGGGGAAGAGAGGACAACAACTGGAGAAGGAGATGCTAAAAATACAAACCACCGGGCAAAGCATATATCCTTGGGTGACTAAAAGCTAAACCAGTAAGGAGCCTGTAGTGCTGCGTACCTGTTCCCGTGCTGATAGTACGCAGAAAGCCAGGAGCTGCAGGCTCGCCAACGACTAGATCTCTCTGCCAGATGAGCACGTGTTGTGTTTGTTGTTTGCTGTTTACTTTTGGAGCGCATGACTCATGACCTTTTCCTTTGTACCATTAGCACGTTGTGAATTTTCTAGAATTTTAAGCAGGGAGAGTTGAAGTCAACTGGAGGAGGAGCGGTTTGCCGTGCCGGGCGCGGAGGGCCTGCGGGACTAGATCCTTAGTCAAAGGCTTCCTCTTGGAAGCTGATTTCTGCAGCAGTCTGTTGGTAGGAGCTTGTGCAAGGTTGGGTTAAATTTCTTCAGTAATATCTTGGAAGGACTTGCCCCTGTAGAGTCTGGGTTTTGCTGAGGGACAGCGAAATGGAGATTCTTGAACCATTTTACCCATTTTAAAACGCTTTCTCTTGCCCCCAAGGTAATCTTCCATGGTGTTTAAATGCTGCCTAGGAAAGTTTAGTGGCATAATGACTGCCTTTGCCGTGTGGACACAGCCTCGGTGTGGAGATCTCTACACGCATGGACAGGCTGGCAAGATTCCTCGTGTGTACAAACCCTTAACTGCTTGTTTTTCAAATGGCCATCCCTTCACGGGTACTTGGTGAAGCACCGAAGATGGTAACGTTGATATTTAGCTTGTCACTGGCAATTAGCGCTAACATGCAATTCATAAATCTGCAAGTGAGACACTGAGTGAGAGCCTCAGATGGCATTGTATCGGTAGCATTTGCTTTCACAATCCTGTAATTTCTTTATTTTCTATGTTCAACGCCTAGAGCACAACAGGATGGCTGCAGGTTAAAGATCTTGAGTTACAGAAACTTAATCTAAGCTGATTTACAAGCCTGGTGCTAGGAAGGCAATTTCCTTGTAACGTTAAGGATCTTCTCTGGTAGAGGGAGCTGGATTTTATTTATCAACAAATAAATGTACATGCTTGCATTTCTTGTCATACTTGTAGTTCAGCAAGAATGTATGGTAAGCATCAAAATAAATATGGTATTGGTAGCTGGTTTGTTCTTGCCCGTTTCAACAGGAGCGTATCTCCCCGCACAACCATTTTCCTGGCTAATTAACTGAAATTTCCCAAGGTACGTACCTAGGTAGTAATAGACCTCTCTCGCCGTTTGAAATAAGCTGGCAGCTTCCAGGCGAGCGCTGGTAGCGTGTTTGGGAATACGTGTAGACATATTTTCCCCGAAATTGTCCTCGCCCTGTTTCTGGTGGGGCTTGGAGGGCTCTCCCGGCTGGGCGGGTTGCAGCTGCCGGAGCCACGGGGGCGGGGAAACCGGCCGGGGGGACC